GGTGTGGTTGCAAACATTTTGCACAACGGCGCACAGATCATTAAGAAAGTGTAAGCTATTATTAACACATTAAGTGCAACACAAAAATCATCGGGTTAAAATGGATCCCTGTCTGGGAGACTTGGACAAGGAAAATTATTTTTTACATTTTACCGTTAATCAAGACAGATGATTTTGAGATACCATATAATGTTATCATTCCTTTCTTGAATTTCAAACCAAAGCCCATGAAAGAAATGCCAAGTCCAAGTTATTTTTTGAATTACGTATAGCGAAAAATATTTTGAGATTTTACCGTTGATCAAGACAGATATTTTTTAATGTGACCACTATGAGTTCCGAATAAAAGGTTATTCATTGTGTACAGTGTGGGTGCATGATGGTCATAATTATACGCATTGCTCCCTACCTTCCCATTTTAACTCCTTCCCATCTTCCCCAAAGGTCTATATCATAGTCTTCTATAAAAACATCTAGTTGCTTATGAATAGGAATACACACTCCACCCCTCGTACCATTTGTCGGGAACCATAATTGTGGACATCCCGACAGTTATCCGGGTCGTTGATCTTTCCTTCATTAAGCTTTGTTTCATGAATAAGGCCAATTGCACCATATTCCTGTGGAGCCACGACTTTAACCTAACACTCTTAGACTTTCTCGTATTATCTCTTAACCCTCATACATAACATAATACAATACTAAGGTTGAACTCTATAATCCCTCATTGCCCAAACCTTGTGAGTTTCTCGACTGTTTTCCAACTTTTCTTTATGCAGATCCTCCCGATTGTGGTGTTGCGTTGGTTCTTCTCCTCTTCTTCCTTCCCACAAAATGCTAATTGAGTCATTTGTAAAACCAAACTCTTGCGCCATCACGTACTTTATTGGATTTCCCATTGATATTGATACGCCTAGTGACCAAATCCCTCATCAGTGAAATATTATTGCGGATACCTTGGTATAGGCGAGAATAGAGGGTTCAATTTTGACTATCTTTTTTGCGGCATGGAGTGTTATTCTTTATTTCCTTGTTTTTGGCTCCCACTTGAATATTGATGTGATTATCCTGAAGTTGATACTGCAAGTTCCCCTTGATACAAACCCTTATTTCCACCTCCTTGGCTGATGGGTCACTGTAGGCGATCTTCGAATTATCCACCGTTTGGCATGACACCAGCATTGGTGTAAAAGTTCATCCCTCCAATGTTAACGTAACCATGCTGGCCACCAAAGCTTTAACCCCTTGAGTTACTTGCAATTTCCCGGTGCCTTCCTCTTCTTTATGCAAAAATTCTCTACATCTTCTACACTATGGAGCGGAGGAGCAAATAAGCTTGAAATCGCACGTATCCTCGTTGTCTGTTTTTACCCAAATTCAACCCACCTTGTACTGGGGGCTTACATCGTACTTCAAATTCATTAGTTTCGGTTTTTATTGGTCTGATAGGAAGGCAATCTTCAGTGATGGTGCTTAGCACCCCTTCTAATAGCTACTTTAGTGTACACTATTGAGTCTAAAGGCATTTGTAATGTCATCAACAACAACTTCAACAAGGTATTTTTCAATTATAATTTTTTTTATTTCCTTTATTCCAACCTCGTCATCCAAGCTCAAAAACTCACTGAATACACTGTTTCAAACACTATGATTTTATCTTCTATGTGATTCATCATCCAAGTAGAGGCAACACACTCTTTTGTCATGTAAACCAAAACATTCGGGTTTTCAAATATGATAGTACCTCATTGTACCGGGGGTAAAAAATTTCACCCTTGGCCCAACCGTTTTCGTATATGCGGATGAGATCTTCTTTATCTTACGCGGTAATTCCTTTGCTGCATTTTTGAAAACTAGTACAATCGTTCGTTCTTTCAACCATTGCACTTTGGTTTGATCTAAACTTGAATTCACTTTGAAAACAACATCTCATCTCTCAATTTCAACCCCTTTGCATGACACATCCTCTGGTATATTATCTTTTCCATAACATTGAGTTATGAGGTTTTGTAGCCTTTCTTCCACCACTTTCGAAGATTCAGGCGCAAAAGGTGGAGATCTCGCCTCTGAGTGATCATGTTATTCCATTACTACGACTGAAGCGAAGTCACCATTTTGTTGTTCTGGACAAAGATAGTGATTTTCCATTGAGTATAGAGTGCAAACAACAGTGAATATCCGGTACCGCTATACATGTTCAGCAAATGAGCATATTGGAGAAAAAGTTACCGCCCGTTACTATCTCTCCCGTCTAGTTCTAATGTGTTTAGATACGACTAGTATGTATTCATGCTCAATCACTACTTTTATTGTTCTCTCGACTATGGCAACAGTCTCTGTCAGGTTCCGTGAAACATCACGTTACCGTGATGAAGATCGTGGTGAAGATCACGAACAATAACGTAGCTCCCCACGTTGCAGAAACTTTACCGGGCAAGCCGTGTGACCTTTGCTCGAGAGTTAACGCATTGACCCCCTCTAATGTTAATTAGTCAGTTTAATCAACTTTAATGACTATATACATATACAAATTTATTTAAAGGCTAGTTTTTTTTTAAGCCTAACCAATATAATTACCTGTCAAATATTGACAAAGGTCCTTTAGGGCCCAAATTTCCCATGTTGTACTAAATTACTTATAGAGGTATGCATACACTCTAGGAATACCTCAAGATAAACACCCATCCAAACAACTGCAATTACAAAAGGTAACAACATAAAAAATTCTCTTCTGTTTAAATCGAAAAACTTTTGAATGAAATACGGCTTGAAATTTCCAAACACAACACGATTATAGAGCCAAATGGAATAAGTTGCTCCTAAAATCATTCCAATGGCTGTTGATGTTGCCATGTTGGGCGCAACTTGAAAAACGCCTACTACAATAAAAATACTCACCAATAAAGCTAGTAGTGCCTGACAGATTAATATTGGCTAAAGTAAAAAACAGGAAAATAGTAAAGAAGATAGGCATGACCATTCGTGCCGTTTATTATCATTATAATATTACGGGGAACCCCATAGTATGAGGGAACATGTGGGGGTTGCACCCACCAGTAGGTGTGATACCTGCTTCGACAAGTGGGCAATACCGACTAGGTGTCAGGTGGTAGCATCAGGACCGAGCTCCTTCGATGGGCCAGACGATGTGCCTCCCCTCTGGTTCCCCCCCCTTTATGACCATCAACAGTCTCTGCTCAATTCTGCTCTGGGGGACCAACGGCCTGTCTCTAGGTGGCGGGCACCAAACTTGCCCAGGAAGGTACACGAGACCAATGAGGACTTAATCCAAGACCTCCTGATTGCCACTTACTTGCCTTACCAACTCAGCTAGGCTGCTGGATAGTTCATTGACTATATATCCGCTATACCCAGTCCCAACGCGAACTTGCATCTATACCCGGAGCCCATTCAACTTCGCTTAGTACCCAACTTTTCCCTTACGAGAAATTGTAGGTGTACCCAGTCGCGCAGGCCCTCGGTTTTGGACCACGGAATTATGCTCATTCCCATCGAGTGGACCGTTGTGGCCCAACGGCTGCTGGGTATGAGCATAATTTCATCCGTCCGACACCAGGGTATATGGATCAGTCCACCTCAGGTCCTGGGTATACCCGTAACTTTCCTTATACCCATAACTTTGCCTGCCTATAAGTCGTGCATTCTGGTAAGTTGGTTATAACTACAACACAATTTTCCTGTACCAAACTGGGTTTGCCTCGGTCCTTGGGCATGCAAACAATTTCCACCGGGCGTTTTCTGGGTATAGGTGCAACTTGGCACTGGGACTGGGTACAGTCGGTATTCCCATCTGTAAGTGGGGTACAGATGCAATACCGAAAATTGGGACTCGCACTATCTTGCAGTCCCCCGTCCATATACAGCGACTTTTTTGGCTGATCTCTGGACGTGATTGCGGTTAGATGCGTTCAGGTCTGGCCTTAAATGCTTTCGGATACATTAAGGAAAGTGCTGCGAAGTGTGAGTATGTTCCCAGTCAGTGTAGTGGGCGGCGCTGGGGATTGGGCATCGCCACACCACTCTCGAAATGTGCAAAATGAGAATGAACTTCCCGCTAAGACATGGCCAGATGCACCCGCCACATTTTTGTCATTTCACATTTCGAGAGTAGTGTGGCGAGGCCCATTTGTGTTGGGCGGCGGGAAAAGCGTACGCAGCGAAAACGCGTCGCAGGAGTTGCGGGAACAGGGGCCAAGTCCCACTATGGACCTCGAGTTTCCTCAACGCCTGAATCTGGACGTGTTTGTCGCTATGTGCGGTTGAGGAAACTCTACGCGATTTCGGCCGCAAACACGTCCAGAGTCAGTCGTTGCAGAAACTCAACGTTGCCAGTGGGACTTGGCCCCAGGTTGGGAAAACTTCGACTGGTCGTGGCGGGAACAGAACAGGGCGAATTCGACGAACTGCCGAAAAAAAAAAAAAAAAAAAAAAAAGACAATGCATCTTCCCCAGAAAGTGGTAAGATGCATCCGTTGCTATTCATAGTAACGGATGCATCTTGCCACGCTCTGCGTGAAGATGCGCTCGAACGTTTTCGTTTCGACAGTGGTGTGGCGAGGCCCGTACTCTCACGGTGGGACCTTTTTTTTATTTATTTATTTTTATTTTTTTAACGGTAGGACCTTTCGACTCAGCTCTAGACGGTATTGCTGCTCGATACACCCAGGGGCTAGGTCCCACTTACACGAATTAAGTGATATTGACCGTAGATGGCAAAGATCAACGGCCAGAATCTCTTAATCCGTGCAAGTGGGACCTTGCCCCAGCGCGTGTCGTGATTGCAGCCAGATGCATTCCCAAAAGTCCCAGTGTGAGTACGTACGCACTGAGAGCGGGAGGAGGTAGCGCAGCGCCCTGCCGCCGTCGGCAGCGGTCGACGTGTTTGCCCACCCAACCAGAGCATGGGGCTGATCAGCGAACAGATCTCTCTCATCTATTAGAGATGATGATGATGTGTCATCTCTCTCCTAGACCGGCAGTTTGACAGTGTGCGGCCGAGCTTTGCTGGGAGCACGACACGTGTCATCATCAGCAGCGGGGTACTTGTAAAAGGTGAGTAAGTGTCATCGGGCCTCGTTGCACTACTCTCGAAATGTGCAAAACGAGAGTGAATCTTCTGCTAGAATATGGAAAGATACATCGCCATGATTTTTGTCTTTTGTGCATGTAGAGAGTAGTGCAGCGAGGCCCGTTTTCGCGTCGGCGTCTGTCTGCTTTTGCAGTCGTTATCCTTTTTTCTCGACAACGCTAGAGTCTTTTTTGAGGGGATACTCACACTAGGACTTTCTTACTTACCTAAGGACGTGATTGCGGTCAGATGCATGCAAGAACGGCCGTAAATGCGGTCAGATACGTTAAAGATAAAGCCCGTGTGAGCACGGTACGCGCTGACTGACTGTGTTGTCTGGCTAATTGGCAATTCCCTCCCTCTCTCGCACTCACCAGTTATGTTTGTCTCATATATATATATATATATATAAATTTGACCTGGCTGCAGATTCGCCCATTATTATGAATAGTAACGGATGCATCTGATCACTTTCCGGGGAAGATGCACTCGGTACTCTTCTCGTTTCGACTGTGGTGTGGCGAAGCCCATACAAGAGCTCTCTTCTTCTTCTTCTTTTTTTTCTTCCTTTTTTCTTTTTTTTCCCTTCTTTTTTTTTTTTTTTTTTTTTTCCTTTTTAATTTTCCTTTTTAATTTTCCTTTTTAATTTTTCTTTTTAATTTGTAAGAGCTCTTCTTCTTCTTCTTCTTCTTCTTCTTCTTCTTCTATCCATCGTCCCCTACCTCTCTTAAATCGCTCCCTCTCTCCCGCTCTTGTATGGGCCTCGCCACAGCACTGTCGAAACGAGAAAAGTACGAGTGCATCTTCCCCAGAAAGTGATCAGATGCATACGTTACTCTTCATTGTAATGGATGCATCTGGCCACTCATGGCGGGAACATGCAGTCGTACTTTTTTCGTTTCAACAGTGCTGTGGCGAGTCCCTGTATCTCGTGAAACGCATGGGTATCCGGCGGCCGGGTCAGAGAAGAAGAGAAGAAGAGACCAGCGGGGGTCCCTTACACGTGCACGAAATCCGTGTATATATCGGACTGCATAATAACTCAGTGATCGCTCTCTCTCTCTGTTTCTTTCTTTCTTTCTTTCTTTCTGTCTTCCTGGCCTCTCTTCTTTGGCGCTCTCTCTGGCTGGCTCCTCTCTCACCTAGTCGTGCACGAGATCCGTTTACACATCGGACTGCATAACAAGTTCATGGTCTCTCTCTTTCTCTCTCTCTGTGTCTCTGTTTCTCTCTCTCTCTCTCTTCCTCTCTCTCTCTCTCTCTCTCTCTCTCTCTTTCCCGTTGTTCTTTGTCCCTGCTCTGCTCTCTCTTTTTTCGCTCTGTTTCGCGCTCTTCTCTCCCCTACACGTGCACGATATCCGTTTACATATTGGACTGCATCTCTGACTCTTTCTCTCCTCCCTTTGTTCGTTCTCCTTGCTGTCCCTTCCCTCACTCTGCTTCTCCCTTCTCTCTCTCTCTCTCTCTCACTTGTGCCAGCTCGTACATCGCCGTAGGCGTGGGTTGGTTCTAACGTGTAATGCCATTGCTGCTGTAGTTGGTAGCTGAAGTCCATGTAAGATCTCTGGAAAAAATTATCACAAAAAATACGCGTAAAAGCGTAAAAGAAGTACAGAAGGGAATTTAATTTACTGTATTACTGTGAAGGAAAAAAAAGTATTGCTGCTGCATATCACGTGCAGTCGATAGCAATCCACGATCGAAACGAGGTACATTCCTGTTCTTTTTTTCTTTTTCTTTTTCCTAATTTGGAATCACGTGGATCTGTATGAATCCACGGTTGAAGGGAGGTGGACTGTAGTGGAGGGGATCGAAACGAAGTAGATTCCTTTTCCCTCCCCCCCTCCTCCCCCTCCCCCCCCCTTCTCCTTCCCTAATTTGGAATCACGCGAATGTGTAGAGTAGGGCTTTAGTGGAGCAGCGGCGCCCAATGCCAACCTCTCCTGTGCAAGGAGCAGGGCTACTGTGTCCGTGCTAAGTACAAGCACGAATCTGGTCGCAAACCGGCTAAGTGCATGGGGAACTTAGTACGCCCCTAGCATGCTGTCGTGGAGCAGCGCCCAATGCCAACCTCTCCTCTGCAAGGACTACCTGTAGGGCCACTGTGTCCGTGCGAAGTACCAGCACGAATCTGGTCGCAAAACCGGCTAAGTGCATGGGGAATTTAGTACGCCCCTAGCACACGGCTACGGCCTTGCCCACTACTACCCGTCTTCACCCGCCCGAATGCAATGTACGGCCATGATTGCTGATTGCTGTATCTAGACTCAAAGTTGGCACCAATTCAGCTATGATGAACGTACGTTGTCTTCGGGTTAAGAAGGGTAGCTATGTCCCTGAGAACTTAGCACGGACATAGCAAATTCCTTTTTTTTTTTTTTTTTTTTTTTTTGGGTTTTCTTTGTTGTCTCCCTCCATCATCAAGGGCCTGGCCAACTGGTCCTAAGTCCGTACTAATTAATAGCGTATATCTGCATTCTTCACCCGAATAGAACACCCGGTCATTCTAGCTGTATTTGGGCCAACTTTTGGTATAGATACAGAGATAATGACTGGGCGTTCTGTCCGGGTAGTCCGTACTAGTCCCTACTAGCACAGATCTAGTAGTAAAACTAGTCCGTACTAAGTCCTTGCACAGATCTGGTCGTTAAATTGGCTATGTTCATCCTAACTTAGCACAGACATAAAGTCAGCGAACTCCGCTCCACATTTGCTGCCATTCGTCAGTATCTTTTTTTTTATATAATTTAGTATAATGAAAGATGTTGTTCTTGAAATGCCGAGCCACAGTTCACCGGTCAACTGCTGAATTCTCAATTGTTTTTCTGTTTTTATTTGTTTTTTTGGTTCTTTTTTTTTTTTTTTTTTT